AAAAATCTCTACCATTAAATAGTAACATCCCTTTATCTTCAGCGTTTTTCTTATGTAAAACTAGATACATTAAACTTTATAACATTTTTTACAGATTATTTCTATCGCAAACACAAATAAAGTTATACATTTTTTAAAGTGCACATGAACTTTATGGACACCCTCTATATCATCACCATCATCACCATGATCGTCATCATCATCATCATCATCATCATCGCGTCATCATCATCATCATCACGTCATCATCATCACGTCATCATCATCATCGTCGTCATCGTCATCATCGTCGTCATCATCGTCATCGTCATCATCGTCGTCATCATCATCATCATCATCATCATCGTTATCGTCGTCATCATCAATACTATGACCGGGTGTAACTGATATTTGTTGAATTTCTTTCCTCCAGTTCCTAAATAATTAACAGTTTGAAAAAGATCCTTCTAGGAATGAAATGCATAACATTGGACTTTTTTTTTGTTCCTCATTTTGGGATTCAATTACCCGCATATATCATCTATGTCATTTTTGCTCTTGTTTGGCCCTTCGTTAGATCAGCTTTTTTTTACAAACATAACTTTGGTTAAATTATTAGAATTCCAAAATGAAAAACTTCTATTTTACTAGATTTTAATTATTTTAGGTTTTGTCAAAACATAAACAAAATTTAATGTAGGGATGTTGCAATATGGCTGTTTCATAGGGTCACATCAAAACATAGGCTTTTATATCTGGATAGGTCACGGTGTTGACCATGAAAGATGACCTTTTAGGACATGGCATATGAATCAAAAGCCTATTTGGGTGAGAGATTTTTTTATTCTTATTCCATGTTACTTTCATGGTCAGACAGTTATTCAAATAATAAGATAAGGAAATGATTATGGATAATTTGATTTAATTTTTTTTTTTAACTATACTCCATCTTCCCCACAAGGTGAAAAGAGAGCAATGGCCGATATACTAAGAATGGCAAGTATTGATGCATTGTTTTTGTGTAAAAAATATTGTAGCATGTTCGGGTCAGTGATTGTGGCTAGGTACATTTATGTATAAGATAGAATCTTTCCCAAATCCCCTGTTTTGGCCTAGGGCCACATTTTTTGTATTTATTACAGAATAAATAACATTATTCGTTATAGTACCTAGACTTGATGTATTTAAGTGCACTACAAGACTGGTGACATGGTCTCATAAAAATACAATCGAATTGGTTAGAAGTAACCGTAAGTCCTATGCTAAAAGTTTCTTCTCGCACTCTTTGGTTAATAATAAAAATCCGGTGAAAATGCACATCATTGTTGTGTGCTCCTACCTTTTTTTTTCATTTCATAGCACCTGAACAGTTAACAACGCACCCCAAAGATGAGATATGGATTCGTATTATAGCAAGTCAATACATACGCAATGTTCAAATTTAAAGAAAAAAAAATGAGAAAAATTCTTTCTCTCTTTTCTACAAATATTTTCACAGAAAAAGCTCCGACGAGCTATTGTTGCTAGTTCACAAACTGCATGAATTTAGACGTGCCACTTGGTCGGTATCTCAGTTCCACCCTTTTTCACTGTTGAAACGGTTAAATATCGCCGTCTCTTCTACTCAAATAGCTTCATGCCTCGCACTTCCCGCCTGTGGAACTCCCTTCCTCTTACTTGCTTACCTGATAGCTATAATCTCCATCATTCAATCGACATTTCCAGATACCTTGATCTATTCCACATCCTTCTCTTCATCCTTTCCTCTCTCAGGCCTCTTGCTCTCACTTTCTGTAACAGCTTGCGTGCTAGTGGCACTCCCTCCTTGCTTGGGGGGAAAAGTTAAAAAAAATCATTTGTGGGTATGTAAGTGCTTTAAAGGATGTTATATATCCCGTTTTATTTAGAAAAGAGGGCACAAAGAAGAGAATTAATCTGCACCCCCTACCTACTAGACCGCGAAAACGTTATTGGGCAATATTAAGTCTAAACTGTAACTGGTACTTTCAACAACTGATGCCAAAGTCATTTTTCTGAACTTTTCCGAACATCTTCGGCAATTTCTTTTGTTTATGTATATGAACGACCTGAATAATACGAATTGCTTCTGAAACAATATTGCCATTTATAAATTAACAAAAAGATTACATGTCTGCCATGGCGAACTGTAGACACGTTACGGTTGAAATTACTTGAACCATACTCTGACTACGTGCCTCACTCTGCTTAAAACATTATGAACATTTACAAGCGAAAGCATTCAATCTATCGCTTTCATATCGATTTCAGACATTAGAAATGGGTTCAGCTAGTAACGATAGTGTTATGATGTTGTTTTGGGGTTAGTAGAGACAAACGTCAAATAACACGTAACAATAAAAAGGGTTTTACTAGGTTGGTAAAAAGGTACAGAAATCGCCTGAGTAGTCCATAACTAGCTCAGCTAAGAACTTCTCTGTCTATCTGTCTTCTCCATGTCAACTGACATGCCACTATTTAAAGTCTTTGTTCACAGACGCAGACAAGTTCATCTTCAAGAGGGGTGGTAGGTTTCCGACACAACAGATAGTGATCAGGACACTGACATTTTGAGGAGAATTGTTATCATATCATCGCCACCGATAGTTGTAATAAAGTAATCGGGACTAATCTCCCTTGTTTTATGATTACCTCCCTTTGGAGAAACCTTTCGGTTGTAGAGGGTTATAAATAGCCACTACGCTTGCAACAATTATTCTAAGCAGAATAAAGCTTCCTTAAGATTTCTCTTGCTCTCATTCGTGATTACAATAGTCACCAGATATTACAGATGTAAAAAGATATCGGTAGACAAAATCTAGTTATCGATAGCAAGGAACGAATCTCCATTAGAAATTGGATATTACTGTTCAACGACAACAAAACATGATTGGAATACAGCAAAAAATAAATGTCGGGGAACTAGGGAAATGAATAAATATCATTATAAAAGAAGAAAATTATTATAGTTTCTATGATTAGTGGCGTTATTGGAATCGTCATGAGAGCTTTGCGAAGAGTTTAGAACAATTGAATTACTGAAGAAGTGACCATCGAAGTTAAAAAAATAATAATATCGGCAACAATACAGCGGCTGTAAAAAAAGGGTAAATTTTCTCTGAGTGCAGTCAAGAATGGCAAATAGCAGGATCAATTAACATACTGACAGATTGAGTTTAAGTTCTACAGATAATAGCCTCGTGGATTAAAGCATTGGTTGGTGAATTTGGTGATATGATAATGGTGAGTTCAATCCCTGGTTCGGGCAGTGTGTACTTGGACCCAGTTGAAAGGCCAAGCAATAATTGGGCAAAGAATCAGGATTAAATGAAGTAGCTCTAGAAATGGAGACAAGAGTGTCTGCCGTAGATGAAATAAATGTTTCAGTTCAGAATTTTCTGTAGGTTAGCCGGAACAATATACAACCGGTGAAGGCCGGAGGGCACAAAAGCCGAATGCTGTTATAACATACAGCCTACATACAAAGATGAGGACAATAGTCTGAATGTAAACAGTGTACATAATGATAACTCTTCATCCCAGAAACTCAGGCCGAAATACCGGGGAGACCACACCAGGCTCTCCTTTCCGCGAATATTGGGTTACACAACATTCGGTAGATATCTGAAATAGCAACAGTATAGAAATGCAATTATTTACATTATGTACATTGTTCGGACTGTTGTTCTCATCTTTATTGATATATTCACGACGTTTCGGCCTTCATCAGGTGATTGAAATTTCGAACTGAACATGTTATTTCGTCCACCGGTGTAGAGTGTTCTAGTTCAACATGCTATGCCTCTCCCGGATTTCTCAGTTATCTCCCTTTAACTCAAATCTGTTCACCACTACCGTAGCCAGGTATTGAACTCACAACTCTTTGACTCAAGTCACTTGAGTATACATGGCCCAGTGCATAAAAACGTTGGTTGGATACAGTGACTTAATCTAGTGTTTACACTTCGAAGATGTGTGATGGAACTACAGTATAATTTTAGGCAAATTCCATTCAGTTAGCAGTTTTATAAGAGTCGGTGTCTTCTTACAACTGATAACCCTTGCTCTTCGCTTTATTACCTGGTCTATGAGTTCTTGCAGTTTGTTACAGAAATCGTTTTGACAATTATCGTCTTGACAAAGAAGAGCAGATGAATGGAACGTAGTTGCTCGGAGTAGGTCAATCGAGCCTAACAAAGAAGATCAACTGAGTGAGGACGGACTAAGAACAAAACCAACTGACACTAGTTTCTTGATTATTGACATTTTAGACTAAAGTTCACAGTACAAAGCTTGCTGGTTATCTATAGGTCAGTGGTTACTAGCAGCTTAAATCATAGTAACTCTTGACTGCCACTCAAAAGGAAGGCAAACGCTGATTAAACTTTACGGCCCACTTTTTATCGCTCGCTTATAGCCGGCCATTAATAGAGGGTTGCAACTGAATAAAAATTTGCCGACATATTTAGTTTCGTCCCTTGTTTTTTTTATTAACGATCCGACCAAAGAATTGTTTTCTAAAAGCGTTCGACTAGAAGAATCTGCTCACTGCGAACGAACCTGGTGTCTGGTCTAAGCTGCAGCGCTACACTACTGCTGTTATAAAAATATAAGTGTAAATGGAACCTTGAGGCGAAACACGAATATTTTAGGAGGTTTCATCACACTGTTTTGTAATTGAACAAAAGGAAACCAGTCCACATATTTGTGGCATGACAATTGCTTCCACTTAATTTTAATTCTCATTCTTCTTCCTTTCCTATTCCTCTCCCCCTCCTCTTATTTCTTCTTCTACTCCTAATCTTAATTTTATCAGCACATAATTTTATAGCAATAAGCACCATAGTCTAAATCTCACACACTGTGCAGTAACATGAGTGTTACAATATCACAAAATGGTTGAAGACATTGAAAATGTTATCAGAGTATCTACAAGACCCGAGAATATATATAATGTACCCATATTAAAATCGACCTCGTCTTTCGAGCTGTGGAAGTTTTGGATGCTATTATTATATATGGGAGGTGGGAACCGCTTTAGGGTGAATGTTTATGTATATTTTACGGTTGTATCATAATGGCCAATCTCCGATTTAATGTAAAAGGAAGCGGGTACTCAAATGCAGATTTTCATGGCAATGAATCTCTAACAATTAAATAGCTGTACGCAATACTCCGAACCATATATTTAGTGGATATATATGTTTGAGTAGACATCTCTGTTTTGAAACGGTATAATTGATGTTTCCAGGCGTGGATATATGAGTATCTTTATTAAAGTTTATGTGACCTTCTGAAGGGTTCGAACCTAAGTCTTTATGATAAAGAAGAAATAAATGTTGATCCATGTGTATGGGTATATTTTCTTTATTAACCCTAGAAGACAAACCATCAATTACAGTTACACCACTACTAAACATGGGTATATCATACCCGATTTTGAAAATATGCATAAAAAAATTAAATATTTATATGAAATATTTTACATGCAGGTACTTTAAACTTTGTACTTTGAGTTAACTTTAATAGGAAATAAAAAAAAAATTATTTAAGTTAGAAAATCAGGTACTGAAAATTGTAATTAAAAATAGGAAAATTTGCGCTGGGTACTATATACCCATGGTTAGTGTTCTAGGGTTAACGACAATTGAATACCCAGACGGGTAGATTTTAATTACAAAAAATAAATAAATAAAAAAAAACTAAAAAGTCACATGTTCTAAAGTAATAAGAAATAAAGTCGGACTATAAATAGAAATTCATTATTTCTTAAGAAAATATTTATGAGTGTATATTTATTCCCAGACTAAGTCTATTTTAGTAAATTTCGTCCTGGGTATGACGATAAACTACATCTGCGTCCTGGGTAAGAAGATAAACTACGTCCAACAGCAAGGCCTCTGATCAGAGCGTTTTTTAAGAGCGTGGGACCACCTCCTAATTGCTAGTGTTCTCAGGTCCACCCTGACCAGCTATGGGTAAATAGTCAACCCTTAAAGTGTATGAAAGTGTAAAAATAGATCTTAATACCAGAAACACTTTGGAAAAAAAAATTGTCACGAGCAATAAATTTTTTGAAGAAAATTTATTACTAGCAATACGTTTTTGAAACAAAAAAAAATTACCAGCTATACATTTTTGGAAAAAAATATTACCAGAAATAGATTTTTTGAAGGAAAAATATTACTAGCAATACATGTTTGAAAAAAAATATTACCAACTATAAAAATTTTGTCGGCATTAAGTAACCCATTTTGGTTGATATGCCGTAGAACAAACCAATCCAAATAAAAAAAAAATTATTAAATTTTTCTTCCTTCTTTCTGTCTATCTTTATCTGTCTATCTATCGCAGTTTATTCCTGTTTGACTATCTTTGAGTTTTCATAGCTAAGTACACGGACTAAAATCAATGAATTAACTCCTTTTTTATACCATTTTCTATAAATCTCACCCCTAATTTTAAAAATGACTTCTTCCAAAATATACCCCCAGGGAATATAGATTATGACTCGATCGTTTTTGAATACGTGATATTTCTGATAAAGTTTTTCTTTTCTTTTGAAAAAAAGAAAAAATTCCATCAGAAAACTGTAACATCAAACCGAGTAAATAATTGTTTCTTTCTGAAACATAAATTACAGCATTTAAATTCCGTCAAATGTATCTGGATGTACAACTTTTATACTCTAAAGCGAAAATGTAGTTCTGCTTCCGTGACAGAAATCAATTTTCTCTACGTACTCGTCTATGATTATGCAAGCTAACATATACAGAAATAAACCTATAATACTCATTTTATAAATCTACAGATTACCTTTTCGATTTTTATTTTAGAAATCTGCTTGAACTAAATGTTTTTCTAGCTCTAGGCAGACGCAATTTACATTCACGGAAATAAAAAAAAAAATCTAAATCTGTATTTATCGTGAGTTAGAGAAAAAGTGTGAATAATGAGTGAGACGTTTATTATTCAGATAATTTTCGTAAAAAAAAAAACGTGATAGAAAAAGAAGTGTATTAAAATAATTTCGGAAATTATTTTGTTGTATAACGTTAATGATAAAGAAAATTACAGATATCACGATGAAAAGATTCCGAATCCATGGAAACAAAGACGGGCATTCAATATCGAGCATTTATCTCAGCTCGTTTTGATCTGTCTCTAGAAATCGTTCTTCTTCTTTACCTCCTCCCCTTCTTCTTCTTCGTTTTCTTCATCCAAACTTACTATCCCTCCTCCTCCTCCTATCTTCTTCTTCTTCTTCTTCTTCTTCTTCTCTTCTTCTTCTTGTTCTTCTTTCTCCTTCCTTCTTCTTGTCTCCCTTCTTCTTCTTCTACTCATACCCTCACCCTTTCTTCTTTCTTTTGCTCCTCCTCTTTTTCTCTTCTCATTCTTCTTCTTTTTCTATCCCTCCCCTTCTCCTCTTAGTTCTTCTACTCCTTCAGTCCAACTTATTTCTTCATTTTTTTCTTTCTTCTTCTTCTACTCCTCCTGCTCCCAATCTTCTGCGTCTTCTTCTTCCTCCTCCTCTTCTACTTCTCCCTCCTCCTCCTCTTCTACTCCTACCATCCACCTTCTTCTTTCTTCTTCTATCCTTCCCTCTTCCTCTCAATTCTTCATGTTTTTTCTTTCTTCTTCTACTCATTACCATCATCATCCACTTCTTCTTCTTCTTCTTCTTCTTCTTCTTCTTCTTCTTCTTCTTCTTCTTCTTCTTTCTGTTAATTTGATCTTGAGCTCCTTTCAACACAATTGCAACCTCAACAGGAAAAGTTTTAGATTTTAAATGTGACATTTTTTTTTTCTTTTTCTATATTCAGATCTTTATATTTATTTTTTTTCAGTCACGTGATACGCTCATCACAATCAGTGTGCAATTTTTTTTTTCTTTTCTGTCTTTGATAATAATGTCTGGGCAATTTGCTTGCATTGTTCGATCTGGTGTTGATAGAAAAATCTCAGAGGAGGGTAGCATCTGCTCCCTCAACTACAAATTCAAGATGACGTTTGTCGCTGTTTTCATCCCGTATTGATGACAGATATTCCGATACAGATACTGACCTACCATGTCATGACGTTTTTTTTTTTAATCATGCGGTGTGAGTATTGAGCATTTTCGGATAAGGAAATCAATAATTTCAATGCTTTACTCACAAAACCTAGATTATGAACCCGTCCTATTATAGAAGATATTATCTTAGTAGTTGCGAATAAGAAAGCTCTGGATTTCTGCAGCAAGAATAAGCCATTCGGTTTCAACCTTAAGTCCTGAACTCCTTAGCAACTCGTGGGTTGTGAATTGATCTACATTAGCATATTTTTCGGAGAAGAAAGTGGTTATATTCTTGTTGATATTTTGTTATTATTTGTGATTGTTATGTTTTCTTATTTGTATCTTTTGTGACGTACCATGGCCGTTAATAATTAAGTATAACTCAAGAGTTCAATGTTAAGATAAAACAGTATTTAATTACAACCGCAAATAAATACATCACAAGAAGAATGAAGTAAAAGTCGACCAAAGATAATTAACCATTTCAGTGAATACCTTGTTATTAGCGCGACTCGGCTTAAGATCCGGTAAATCCTAAATCAAAACCTAAATCATCGATGCACAATAATTCACACTAATTCGACTGGATAGTTCCATTCAATATTCACTCAATAATCTCTATCTATAAAAGGCAGGATGTGTGTGTGTGTGTGTGTGTGTGTGTAACGAATGCACGGCCGCAATTTTCGACGGATTTGCACTAAAATTTACATGCACATGCTCCAAGTTAGCGGAAAGGCCAAGACCGACTTTGCATTTCCCAACACCCATCGATAGTGGAAATAATCGATTTTTTCATGCTTCTACGGCAGTTTTCATGTAGTTTGCGGCCATTTTCTACTGGCCAGAGTGAGAGCCTATAGCTGGCTGCCACGAATAAGCAGAAAGATTCTATTGGCCAGCGTGAGAGCCAACAGCTGACTGACACGAATGTTAACTAGCATGCTAACATGCAAAAAAAATCGATAGCTGCATTCATCACAAGTGGAAAATTTTTTAATCTGCATGACACTTTACTCCAATTGGCTCATTCGCTTGCTTAAACTCAACGTTAATTCTGATTCCGCAGAACTGGGTTAGGTGTGAAAAAGTATTTGTTGTTAACATTCTTTTTTCATTCGGTTTTTCCAGTTACGAGTTCTTTTTTTAAAGCTGATCGTTTTGTGTTCATTTTGATTTAGTTCTTTTTTCATAACAGATTTAATGCTTAGTATTCGCAGTGTGAGATAGGCAAGAAGTAAGTCATGTAGTAACATCAGCACGGCAAAGGGCACTCCTTTAAAGGCAAGGAAGGGCAAAAATATTTTAAATCAAGTGATAGCGATTGCTGTATGAGTCGTACAATCAAGCACGGGCAACGCCGGGCCATGCTGCTAGTCACTCAATAATCAATGAAATTAGTAGCCGAACACGATTATTTGTACATCTGGTGGAAAACATATTCATAAGTCCGTAATGTCACGCGCGAAACTCGGTGTCCGTAGTTACTCATATTCATCTTATATAACAGTATCCTGTAGAGCAGAGTCTAAACTATAGTCCTTAAGCGCTATAGGAGAATTGTCACTTAACTGATATCACTTTCTTTGTGATGTTCCGTGTAGGGCGATCTTCAGGGTAACTAGTATATTGATGTTACCCGCGATACTGGTAATAAAGTTACCCATTACTTTTCTCAAGAGGTCCAGAGCTCCTATTACTATTGACACAGTCTCAGTTTTCATTCACCACATCCTGTTAATCTCGATCTCCAGGCCTTTGTATTTGGAAAATTCCTCGATAATTTTCATGTAGTTATTTCTCTCAGATGGTACTGCTAATATCAAGAAGCATACACTTCCATGAATTTCTTGCCTTTTATGATAATATAAGGTTTGTTGTGTTTTATTTCGCTGTAAGTTTGAATTGGCATGTCCTAGAGGATAGTTACATGATTATGTTTGGTAACTGTGTATGATTGGTGCTCATACCATCTCTCAGTGGTTTCTATTTTGTGCTTCTTACATATACTCCAATGCATATATGTCGCTACCTTGTGATATCTGTGGATATATTCATTTTTTGCTAGTTCTGGACATCCTGAGATAATACGGTTGACAGTTTCATCATATTTTCTGCAGATCCTACATTTTGGTTTAGTTTCATTCGTGCTAATGACATCATCTGGTTTGGTCCTGAGATGTAATAATTAGGGCTTCTGTCGCAGCTTTCAACATAGTTTTTCGCAGTCACTGATATGTTTTCTGTTGGTCCACAAATGTTCTTTTTTGTTCTTTTTATGTATTTGCCATGAAATGCCTTGTCCTCACAGTTTTTTATAATTTCACTTGACGAAGTTTTTTTGCTTTCAGTTTTCCTCGTTCGGTGTAGATCGTATTCGCTTCCTTTTTTTGTAGGTAGAGTTTCAGGTAGTTAACTCATACATTTTAGATGCGGCAATTTATGCAACTTTGAGGTTTCTATTCTATCTTGAATCTACACTCTATATTCATGTTTTACATGGCTGTCAGTGCAAATAATTTTTCTGCGCGTGTATAAATCTTTTTTTGGGTTGAGCTGTGTATATTGCAGTTAACTAATATTGTGTATGCAAACGGTTGCAGTTAGAGATTAAGTTTTAAAAAATATGCCAAGATGCAGAGAACTTACTTTAGTTTGAAAAATCGCATAGTTGAACCCTATAATGGCGAGAAAGTTGCAAAAAGTTATCAAAACGATTTGAAGTGCACTTCTTCACTGTGCAATAAATTATTTATAAATATATAAATTTGGTATATGGCATCGTAATCAAAAACATAGCCGCCTGCAAGCATGTAGACATCTAGTTCTAGCAATCCCAGACGAATCCTGCTGCAATCTCTTTAAATCTACAACCAATATCGGAATCAATATGCATACGCCTACAATGCGACGAAAACTGAACGATGCTGGGGTTCATGGCAGAATACCTAGAATAAAGCGACTACTTGCGCAAAAGCGAAAAGAAACTAGGCACAACTGTGCTATTATTAATAAGCCACAAACATTCTGGGAAAATCTTTTTTATAATCGGATGAGACGAAGCTAGAGCTTTTAGGGAGGAATGATACTCGCTATGTCTGAGGAGCCCCTAATGCGCCCTTTGAAGAGAAGAATATAGGGGCAACAGTTAAACATGGCAGGGGCAGCATTATGATTTGGGATGCATTGCTTCAGATGGAACAAGCAAAATTATATGCATTGACGGCACAATATACTCTGCAAGATAACAAGTCATTTTGAAAGCAATTTATCTTACCCTCGGTGCGAAACTTGGGTTTGAGTCGGTGCTGTATGTTCCAAGAATTTAGCATCAAAGCAAATCCACAAAAGAATGGCTTTTAGAAAAGAAAAGTCAAGTTTGCCAGTGGCCTAGGCAATGTTCTGATCTAAACCTAATTAGAAATCTGTTGTTCAATTAATACATGCGAGTAACCCAGGAAATATCGAACAACTGTGGGAGTTTTGCACGAAGTGTGGTCATAAATTGACACTCACTACTGTCAGAAACTTCTTTAAAATTATAAAGACTGGGCGATGTCGTGAAAGTAAAAGGAGGAGTCACGAAATATTAAATGTAAGGGTCATTTCCTTTTACACATCTTAATCTTTAATTAATATCTTTATTCTAAATTAATGAAAAATTGAGAGAATGGTTGTGTTTCGTTTAATAAAATTTGTTTTGTTAATGAATATAGAGTTTAATTATGATTTGTTGATTATCTGGAAAAATGAAACACACTACTCACTATTGCCACAATCACTCTCTTTAAATTTTCAAAGAAAAAAAAATTCAACCTTAGCATTGCGACTGCACGCTTCAAACATTTGTATCCGTTAACAATAACGCATTTAAAAAAAAAAAAAAAGAAACATATTTCGACTCGCATTATATTTTTTCGTCTCGGATGCTTCCTGAATTTTACCAAAAACAAAATAACTTCCATGCCTGAAGATGACTGAATGTACCGTCGAAAGTACTTTCGCATTAAAGAAAGACCTTATACAGCTTATTATTTTTTTAAAAACAAGGATCATAACATTCATCGAGTGATTTGTAGGTTAATGCATCTTTAAAATTTTGTTAGCGAATGGATTTCGCCATTTTATATCATTAACTTTACTAATCAACTTTTTGTATGAAGGATTCATTGAAATATATTGTTGTGGATTCCGAGATGAATTCTCCAATGAATGACAAACGCAGGAATGAAATATAACAAAATAAATGTATTTACACAATAATACAATTGGCAATACGGTTAGTAGATCCAGAAACACGGT